GGAATGCCGTTTACAATCAGGAAAAGCGTGAATACAATGTATATTAAATCATCACATTTTACACTTTAAATATCTTAAAATTTTGTCAATTATATCTCAGTAAAGGTGGGAGGTGGGGGCTGAGGAGGAATAAAGCTGCTACAAAGCTATCAAATAATCAGAAAGAAATGTTATAGCGATTTGGGGAAAAAAACTGGATCCCTACCTCATTCCATACACAAATGAACTCAGTGTGGGTCAAACACATATGTTTAAGTACAAAAAGTTACATTTTTTTACAATTAAAATCTTGGTTTATAGAAGGCCTCTCTAAGCATGACCTAAGATTTGAAAAAAAACAAAGAGGGGTAGGGGATGACCATACAAAAATTAATATCAAATATGAATGGGGGGCTTCCCTGGTGGCGCAGTGCTTGAGAGTCCGCCTGCCGATGCAGGAGACGCGGGTTCGTGCCCCGTTTCGGGAGGATCCCACATGCCGCGGAGCGGCTGGGCCCGTGAGCCATGGCCGCTGAGCCTGCGCGTCCGGAGCCTGTGCTCCGCAAATGGGAGAGGCCACAACAGTGAGAGGCCCGCATAACGCAAGTAACAAAGGGTTAGTTTCCCTAATAGCAAAGAGCTCTGAAGAATTAATAAGCAAGCACCTCTCGCAAAAATGGGCAAGGTACATGAACAAGCAATTTTACTTTTTTAAAAAGGTACAAATAACTAATTAACATTGGGGAAACCATGCAACCTCACTCATAATGAAGTGAAATACAAATAAAACAATCTTCCACCACTGTTGGGGGAGAGGGTGGCTACCAGCACTCATGGGCCCCACATCAAACTCTGAATCCTTGGTGGGTTATGGCTTGGACCTGAGGTCCACTTGGGCTCCCTAGTCCTTCACCCCCCAGGCTCATCCCTTGAGTTCACAGTCACCCATGGTGTGGCTTCCTGGAGGGGTGGGAGGGAGAGACCAGTTTGCCCCCAGCATCAATCATTGCACCCCCTGAAACTGGCCAAATGGGACATTAATCAAGTTGATTCTGTAATTCAGGCCAAAAACCTACTTCCTGTTCCATTTTCTAGGTCAAATTAATCCCAGCCAATTAATCCTCAAGCAGAGTATACCAGAGGTGAGCAAAGCATGCCCCACGGAGGGCAGAAAAAGTAGCAAATACCCCATGTCCATAAACCTTCCCAAAGCTTCCTATGTAACATTCATTCCACATAAAAATTGTTGGCTTACTAGGTAGATTTCGTTACAAAACGACCCTCAAAGTGCCCCCCCAAATTAACATATAATCTACACGAGTGCTTGCTATGCAAATATAGCCAGAAGACCAGTCCCCAAATTCCCATAATCGTCCAAAGTACTCCAAATAAAACACAATTAACTAAACCCTAGGCAACAAGTACAAGACCAGCCCACCATACAAACACCCATCCAAGTAAAGTGCTGGTGGAGAATTAAAGTCCCAAAGCCCCTCTTCCAAGATGGCCGCCTGTATGCCCCGCCCACACAGAAATTCTAGAGCCTTCTCTGAATAATCCACATAAGACTGCCATAGTGCTAACCACACAGCCATCACAATTAGGAAGCAAATTCTCAGGCTATAGAACACTTATACATAGAAAATGATATGCCAGAACCCCCGGCCCTTGCTGGTCAAAACTGGCAGAGACTTTGTGATGACGTCCAGAAAGAGGGTAATAAAAGTCACGGTTATCCACCACCTACTATGTGCCAATTAAATCACTGCCCAATGAGACAGGTTCAGCTATTACTGCCATTTTACGAGGCCTAGAGAGGCCAAAGTAAATTTCCCCAAGAGTCAAGCTGGGAAAATGGGCTTCAAACTCAGGTAGCCAAAGCCCACTGCTTGGCTACTACAATATCCTGTAGTTCTAAAAGATACAGGAAAAAAGAGAAGGTCTACTGCTCTTCTTTCCTGGATGCCAGTTGCCAGGAGCCCAGGACCCATGACCCCAAGGGGAAATCCTGCATGTCTCCATTGATTCCATATCCGGTGGTGAGGGTGGGGTGGGGGTGGGGGGTCATGAGCAGGTCGGGGAGTGGAGAGGGGCGTCCTCGTCCCTCAGAGAATGGCACTGGACACACTCCTGCCTTACCCCCAGTTCAGAGGTTTGCCATGGGACCACCTCCAGTCACTCAGATGCGTTTCAGGGTCCCTTATCCTCCTTGGGATTTATCCTGTCTACTAAAACAATTTCATTTTCTTTTTCCCTTTGACTTGGTACGAAACGTAACTCTTATAGGGCTATTTTCAAATCTAAATTCTAAGATCTTCAGAATTCCAAAAAAATCAAGAAGAATTTCATCTAAATATTTGATTACAATAAACCATTAGTTTTTTAATTGTTAGCTGAATCTTACATCCCTACTCAAATGCAAAACAACATATTTTTCTAAAAGTAACAATTTGTGCTCCACTTTATAAAGCTGTAGAGGCCAAATATTAAAAATAACTATTCTCTGATCTTTTTGAGATTAAAAAAAATAATAATAATAAACCACTAAGCCCCTGAGGGTTTATTTAGTTTGAGGAGGGTCTAGAATTGGGCAGAAATTTTACCCACCTTCACTTTTATTTAAAATGTAGGCAAAATTATCCCCAAAGAAATGGCCACCTCAGAACAGCCTTTCTATGTCAAATGGTATTCTCTTATGATAATGGTTTCTTGGACATTTTTGGTGATCTTTTTACTCAACAAATATATAGAGAGTACAGAACCTATGCCAGCCACTGGGAATTCTGCTCTCATGGGTAAGTTCTATCAGGGGAGACATGCATTTACCAAATAAATAACTAAAAGGATTACAGATGATGAAAAGGTCTCTGGGCTAATAAACAGGATGGGGGTGATGGGGAATGGGAGCTATTTGGGGAGGGATTCCACTTGAGACAGAATAGCCAGGGAGGGCCTCTTGGAGGAGGTGACTTTTCTTATGGGAATGCAAAGGATGACAAGGAGCTAGTCATCTAAGTATGAGTAGCAAACATCACTATTCTTTAATCAATATTACTTATTAAAACATTATAATTAACATTTATGGAGCACTTTACCATGTGCCAGGCACTGTCCTAGGCCCTTTATATGGATTATCTCATTTAATCATTTTGAAACCCTAGGAGGATATACCCTATCATCTGTACAAGATGTAACCAATCTGCATCCCATTGTACAAAAATGAAAAAGGTAAAATACATCTAAAACATTGTGAATAATTTATGCAAATCATGCTTTTAACAATGGTTACACTAAAAAGGCCATGCAATATGCACTTAATTTGTGAAACTGATACTCAGGCTTCTGACTTAGAGTTGGCGAATTTGGTGTCTCTACAATAATTTTTCCGTATATAAACATTTACATACTATGAACAACTAAAACTGTCTGGTTTCGCCTGTTTTACTTCCTCTATCAGTTAGGAATGTATTCAGCTGCAAATAATGGAACCCTGACTTGGAGCCACACAAACAGAGGCTTATACCTCTCACTTACCAAGAATTCTGGAGGTAGGTGTTTCCTGGTGTTATCTCAGCAGCTCATCAATGGCAGAGCCTATGCCTCCACGATTCTCTTGGCTTCTCTCTTGTGGTTGCAAAATGGTATCATGTCTTAGCCTAAGGCAGAAAGGAGAAGAAAAGGACAGCCCAATCAATTCTCTCATCAGGAATGCAAATGCTCTGTAGATGCCCTTTGTTCTCTCTACCATGTGAAATACACATAGATACCAGGATAGCAAGATAAATAGTAAGATGGCGAGATAAATAGCTAGCTAGCTAGATAAGACAGAAAAGTATGCGTTCAGTAACACTATTACAAACACACACACAGAGATTTATAATTTTTTGTCCCATGGACCATGATGGAACTTTAGAAAGATACACCCAGAACCTGTAGTTTTTAAGGATTAGGGAATATAACAGGTAAAAACATTCAAATCATAAAGGACTAATTTGCATAATTATATATAAATCAGTTTGAAAGCCTAGATGAAACAGATGCTTGTCCAGAAAAATAATATTTATCAAAACTGACTGGAGACAAAAAAATCTAAGCAGACCGCTTAACATAGGGGGGGAAAAATACAGAGCCTAGAGAGCACCATGACAAAAGGGCTTCAGGCTCTTGTGGGAAGCTAGTGAGTGGAAGGAAACATGAAGGAGGCTTATGCGGCACCAGGGTCTGCTTCCTGATCTAAATGCTGATTAAACAAATATACTCTATTTGAGAAAATTCGCTGAACTGTACACCTATGATTTGATTTTTTTTTTCAGTATATATACTGAAAAAAAATTTTAGGATGGAGGGGAGGAGGGAAAATTTTTTTTTTTTATAATGAGGAAAAGGAAAAAGGCACCAGACCCAGGTAATTCTATAGGAGAATTCTACTAAACCTTTAAAGGTCAAATAATTCCAATACTACTTAAAATTATTCCAGCATATAATGAAAGGAAACTTTCAAAAGTATTTTTATGAAGCGTAACACTGACTCTGAAACATGCCAAACATTGCATCCAAAAATAAAATTACAGACCAATCTCATTT